GTTTACACCTAGAAGAGCTACTTCAGTGAGAAAATCACACTTTCTTCAGGAAAGGTCGCTGTGGAGAGTTTGCCAACTGTTTTGCACTGATGGCTGCAGCCATGGATTTTGACGTTCGCTTCATCTACGATGTCAGTGATCATGTTTGGGTTGAAGTGTGGATACCCGAATACGACAACTGGGTTCATTGTGATCCATGCGAAAATACTATAGACCGTCCATTACTCTATGAGAAGGTTGGTGTTAGCAAGGCAATTTTACGTTTTTTTCTTCTGAAAAGTCTTATAGGGTTGGGGCAAGAAATTGAGCTATGTGATAGCATTTGGAACAGATCATGTTTATGATGTCACTTGGAGGTATACCGTAGACCACAAGCAAACTATGAAGTTGAGGAATCAAGTTCGAGAAGCTGTTTTGAGCAATTTTTTAATGGTATTTTTTCTCCCGAAGTATTTTTGGACGATATAGGTCAGTATTGCTCAGAGCTGCAGTTTAGAAGCTCAATACAAGGCTGAGCAGCAACTCAACGCAAGAAAGAGTTAAAGAACTGCGAAGACGACGAGTTCGCGAGTTAGTCGAGTTCTTGGTTATTGGAAAACGACAAACCGATGGAGATAACTATGGGGGAAGAACATCTGGTTGGCTGATTATATGACAGTCTAGACGTATCTTGCCTTAACATCATTAAGCTCATAGTAATGCCTAAAATTCGAAAAGCAAGCTCCTTAGTCTGCGCTTATAGTTTCTTTTATAGGTGATGTCGCTTGGCGAGCAGCACGATCCGAGCTTGGCTGCAGCATTAAACAGGATACTATTATAAGCCTTACTCAGGAGGAAATCACCAACAAACATTTTAGGTTACTACCCTCGCTTAGCAACTCTTTGACTTCATCTATCTGCTTTTTGCACATGCCATGATTGCAATTTTTCAGTTTGGAGTATAATTGTGCTCAAGACTCCTACACAAGAGGAACTGAAAGCATTAAGGAATGGTCAACTT